GAGAAATAAGGGGGGTGAGAAGGAAATTGGAGCGGGAGGAGAGATTGACATTCATCACATACACACAATGCACCCCTTGCACACAGAAAGACACACATACACAAGCAATGCAACCGTTACACACAATGCATCCCTTACACACACAGAAACACACAATGCATTCATTACACACACTCAATGCACCCCTTACACATATTCAATGCATCCCATACATACACAGAAACACACCTTGCAGCCCTTACACATACAAACACAATTTCACACAATGCATTCCTTACACACATATCAGGACATCCCCTACACACTCCACCCCCTGTGAACAAACTCATTGGTGGAACATGAAGGTGGACCCTGGGACCCAGACCTTGAGTTGTGTAAAGGACCCCCAAAAAATGGAGCTGCTTCCCGTTCTCCCAGAACATTGATTTTTGTGACCACAGTTACAAACCGCTTCCAGAGAGCCTGTTCTGCACCAGACCAGTGGAGCCAGACTGCAGCTAGAGACCATCATCATCCTCATCTGGTTGTAAGTAGGCAATCTAGTATATTATTCGTGGCACTAAGCTCTAATTTACCTCACATTAAAGAAACACTATACTCCCCAGAACCATTTCAGCTTAATGTAGTGGTTCTGGTGTCTATAGCCTGTCCCTGCAGGCCTTTTAATGTAAACACGGCGGCACTGCAGCACTGGCGTTAGTTAACGTGGCAAATCATATGGCTGGGGCATTGTGATGTCACATGGGGGGCGGCAAACTTTACTTTTGCCTTGGGCGGCAAAAATCCTTGTACCGGCCCTGGCTGGAGGGGCTGTGTGAGCTGTGGCCGCACAGTGTCCCATGGAAGTTAGGGTGCCGTGCGGCCAGTACAGCTCACTCAAGCAAACAGCTGATAAACTGGCCGCACAGAGGAAATGTGTATGTGTGACTGTCTGCCTGTGACTGTGTGTGACTGTCTGCCTGTAACTGAGTGTGTGACTGTCTGTAACTGAGTGTGTGACTGTGTCTGTAACTGAGTGTGTGACTGCCTGTAAATGTGTGTGTGGGGCTGCAGGGATTTTGTAGAAGGGGGTGGGGGGTTTGTATTGGGACAGGAGTCTTTATAAGGGGGGATAAGCAGGGGATTTGTGGAAGGGGGTTGCGGGGGTTTTGTAGATGGGGCAGTACAGGATTTGTAGAAGGGGCAGGACAGAGGGTTTGTAGGAGGGGCAGGGCAGGACAAGGGTTTTGTAGGAGGGGCTGACAGCGGTTTTGCAAAGTTTACAAATTGTAAAAATAAAAGAAATAAAACCTTTAACATTTTTTACAGGTTTTTTTTTTTTTTTTTTTTGGGGGGGGTGCCAAGCACAGGATCCGCCCCGGGTGCCAAATGCTCTAGGTACGCCCCTGTGTGTGTGTGTGTGTATTCAGCAGACTGTGTGTGTATGTATTGCATTTGTTGGAGATACTAATAAATATAAGCTTAATTTTATCTATTTATATCATTATTTAAAATTTGTATCATTGAACTCTCTGTGTTCTTTTAAAACAAAAGTTATTAGTTCGGACAACAGTACGAGTTGTTTTTTCTAAACTTAAACCTCAGTATTTGGGTTTAATTGCCGTGTTGGCACTTTAAGGAGAAAAAAAGTTGGCATGTATTGCGGTTTGGGCACTTGGGCTCAAAAAGGTTCGCCATCACTGCCCTAGTGTCTCAGTGTCCCCAGGTCTCCAAGTGCCTCCTAATGTCTCAGTGTCACCAAGTGTCTCTATGTCTCCCAGTGTCCCCAAGTCTCTCATCGTCCCCATCCCTCAGTTTCCCCTAGTGTTACCTGAGCTGTTGGCTGTCTCTGCATGCTGGGAGCTGCTGCTTGTACTCTCTGGGCAGAGCTGCTCCCCCGCGGATCAGTGAGTAGAAAGAGGCAGGGAGGAAGATGCTGTAACTTCCTATCCCTGCCTATCTCTACACACACAGCGCCACCTACTGGCCGGTGCCAGTATTGCATCTAATCTCAGTTTATTCTGAGACTGACATTTGTATTGCCGGAATTACTGCAATACCGGCACCGGCTAGGCAGCCTCAAATACCTGATAAATACTTCTGAGAAATACCTGGCAACCCTAAGAAATACCTGGCAACCTTAAAAGTAGTGTGTAAAAAAGAAAAAAAATATTTTTTTTTTGTTTAAATCAATGGGCCTATTCCATGGGCTTGGGCCTGGAGTTGCAGCTCCATCAGCCCCTATGTTAATTCGGCCCTGCTCACATGCAGACACAGACAATCTCAATGACACACACATGCTCATTGATACACAGCCTCATGGACAAAAAAATCTCACTGATATACATAAGCTCATTTACATAAAAACACAAGCTCACTCACTAGTAGGCACACACACACACACACACACACACACATGCAAGCAAGCTCACTCACTAGCAGGCGTGCACAAACACACCGCTTAATGTAGTGGTTCTGGTGTCTACAGCCTGTCCCTGCAGGCTTTCCAATGTAAACACGGACTTTTCAGAGAAAAGGAAGTGTTTACCTTGCTTCCTAGTGA